TGAAGCTTTTTTTGTTAGGGAGCTACACCAAGGAGAGATGTAAATAAGACAGGGCAGCGAAGACGTAAGATTACAAGTATCGAGTAAATTTCTTTGGAAATTTCGTGGAAGATAATACCTTGAGAAACCAAGATTTGGGGGTGGGGGCTTTAAAATGTCTTTTGTGTTGTTACTTTATGTTTCATCTTTAAAACTGATGAAAAAGTGCATTCTATTCATGGTATAGGAATTGTCCACGTAAGAAAAAGTTGATAAATTCATGATAATTGGCTCAATTTGACCTTTTATTAGAAGATGCATTTATTTACGCAAGGGATAAGTCCTTTGTACCCAGGGAGTATGGTTCTAGATCGCTAAATGATATCCCACCAAAGCAGTTTCTTTGTCCACATTGGGGAAGTTACTTTGAGGGTTTTATATGTAGCTAACATAAACAAAATCAAGATCATATCGGCGGAGAGATGCCTCAGAGGCTAAGAGCACATACTGCTCTTTCAGAGGACCTGAGTTTGGTTCCCACCATCCACATTCAGCAGCTCACAACTCCGAGTAACTCTAGATCTAAGGAGAATCTAATGCATCTGGCTTCCAAGAGCAAGAGCAACTGAACTCACATGTACAGACACTCCTACACACACACACACACACACAATTTAAAATGAAATCTTAAAGAAAGAACAGACATGCATAAGAAAGAGATTTAAAAAAAAAAAAAACAAAGCAACCTGGGTTAACTCTGTAAAGTGAATATGTGAGGGGAGAGGTGGGGGGTGGGTCATTGTCCCCATGGAAACAGGAATTCATCTCATCTAACATCCTTCACATTAAGTAGCTTAACCATTTTTCTGTTGCATTACATCATTACACAAAGTAATTTGACAAATTATATAGCCTTGGCTGGCCTGGAACTCCTTATCTAGCCCAGGCTGGCCTCAGACTCACAGATATCGACCTGCTTGTGCCTTCCTAGTGCTGGGATTAAAGAAGTGAACCACCACACTCCCACCCAACCCCAACCACCCCATTCTCCCCACTGCTGGCTTAGAAAAAAAATCACATTTCATTCAACTTTAATCCAGTTGGTAGATGTTTAGGTGACTTACAGTGTTTCAATCTTGCAAACAAACAACTCCCTCTTTACTTCATCATGCATTTCTAGTTTGTGGGGTGATTTGAAATATCACTTAAAATTTTACAACATCAGCATAAATCTTTGCAACACAGAATGAAATTCATGATCAGTCCGTTCTAGTTTGGACATTATTGGAGAAGGACTAGTCACAAATGATCATTATTAAGTGCTTTTTCACCCAAATGTCTCAGGGATGTAATGGAAGGATGTAGCTCCTCTGCTTCCATGCACTTGATCTACAAAGCACCACATACTTGGTCTACCCTACGAAGAAGGAGGGGAGGCCTGTTGTGGCTTGACTAAAGAGACATCTTGCTTTCAAGTGGATTTGTACATGAGACTCAATTAGAGAACATTTCCTATCTTCATTGAATCATGAGCTATGCATGCCCTTTTCACTTTCCCAACCTTTGTTAGTTGATATTTCAAGTAAAAGGACCTTTAAGGATGTGCTGTTATTCACTGGTGGCCTTGGGACTATTTTGAGATGTAAAAATCCTTAACCTTTAGTGCTTTATTGATGATGCACTCATCATCAATGCTATTGTGTGACAACATGTGCTCTTAGGAAGAAGCCCAGCGAACTCTGGGCCACTGGACCCAAGTGAGTTGGCCCCCAACAGTGAACAGTCAAAACTATAGCTTTAGGCCAAGAACATGGAGATTGACTACAAATTATTGCTTGTGGTCCACTTCCAGTTTCCAAGTGCAAACATACCAAAGTTTATTTTAAATTTGAGCCAGTCAGACATTTAGTAATATACATCAAAGAAAGAGCGAAGGCTTCCCCTGTTTATTATTTCAACATGATGTCTGTCCCAATAAAGTATGCACATGATAGATCACGAGGAGAAGTCCTTCAATTCCGTGGTTTGCCCTTAAATCTGAACATATACTTGTAAATTAATCCAAAACACATTGTCACGTTCCAATCCCTCTGAAAGCTGATTGTTCTCAATCACTCTTTTAATTTTGGAAATCCAGTGGCCGACTGCCAGGTCACTTACAGATCAGCAGTCCACCCCATGCATAAAAGGGGCGTGAATCTGGAGTGCTCAAAACCCACAGGATGGCACTCAAAGAACTTTAAACTTATTCTAGTCTTCCATATTAATTAAAAAAAAGCCATCTGTGCAAGGTGAATTTTGGTAAGGTACCAATGTTTTTAATGATTCTGGATGGAATTTGAAACTGCTTATGAAATAGAGAAAGTATAGCAAGGGATTCCCAAGATAAAATGCACTGTTTATAAAATTCCGCAGTCATCTGACTACATTTTTAATAAAACACTAGAAAGCATTCTTGTTATTCAATCAGAATTTACAATCAAACTTGAAGGAATTGGCTCTGCAGCAATCTAGTAACATCCACTTTCTACTTTTCTCCTAAACTACTTTTGTTCATCTAAACTCTCTCTGTCTCTGTCTCTGTCTCTGTCTCTCATACACACACACACACACACACACACACACACACACACACACACACACCTCACACTTGTCAGAACTTTTTTGGCAAATGCAGAAAGCAACTCACATACATGGCACATGACGGAGATAGAGAGGAGAGAGAGACACACACAGAGAGAGGGAGAGGGCGGGAGAGAGAGAGAGACTGAGACAGAGACTGAGACTGAATAAAGCAGCAGCACACTGAGGCACATTGTATTTCCAGCCCCTTTCTATACATTTGGAGGAATGCCTCTTTATTTTCATTTTGATTATTGCTGTTTGCACAATTTCTCCCCCTGGGCTGACAACCTATAAACCTAGGCTTTCAAAAATCAGAGTGGCAGAAACTCAAAAGAGGATCACTGCCTTGAATTTGGCCAGGAAATACCTTGACAAGAAGGATTTTTTTTTAAATTGTCATTTGCTCCCCAACCAGTGCGTTCAGTCAATTAAAATTTGGACTGAAGGCCTCCTCCAGTTTGAAGGCACCTCCGAGTCTGTGATGAACAATCCTTGTTTGTGAGTCATTCATTTTCTCCATTACCAAAAGGAGAATAGAGGACAATTACATTGTTTGGACGAATCGGGGTGTTAGGAGGAGTATTTGTCACGGAGGCAGAGTGCAGCACCTGACAGGCAGCGATGGATGGCCAGGAATGAGTGTGAGTGGCCGAAGCAGCCTCATAGGATGCAAATTACTGACTGTGGATTCCAATTTACCCTGTTCATTTTTCTTGCCTGTGCTGAAGACCATTAGTGGTTTTTGAAGCAGTGAAGGGGTCATTACTAATGTGGGGAGGCTCTAGCAGGAGGGGGAAGGAGGGGCAAAGCCTTCTGTAATTACACAGCTTTAAGGAACAGGCTGCAGGCCCTAGCCAAAAAAGTGTCAACACCTCGCAATCAGAAAAATTTATTTTCATTTTATGCTTAACCCATATTAACTCAACATTATCATCTTTCTTTGTTAACATTTGAAGAATATTAAAAGCCTGGCTTCTATATTAATACAGATCTAGTTAACCCTTTTGCTATACAGGGGATTTTGTTGAACCTGATGGCATATGGGTTCTTGAATAAACCATCATGCACATTTTAGGGAATGTATGCTATTATAGAAGATGAAATACCTGAGAATTGAATTCTTAGATGATTGAAAAAAACATCCCCTCCCTCAAATGCTGGGATGATTAGAATACTTTAAAGACTTATTTGTATTACTCCTAGTTATGTGTATTGAGGGGGGGATGTGCATGTGAGTGCAGGTGCTGTCCTAGACCAGAGGCCCCAAATACCCTGGAGCTGGAATTATAGGCAGCTGTAAAATGCCCAACATGGGTTCTGGGAACTGAACTGGGGTCCTCTGCAGAAGAGGTAGGAGGCTCCTTAGCACTGAACCACCTCTCCAGCCCTTGATGACCTTCAGTGATGTTGGTGAGATTACGACTCAGGGCTTTCTAGTCAATGAACAACTGTGACATGGGGATCAAAGTTTACCTTTGTGTTTAAAAAAAACCAGTGAATTTTGAACAGATGTGTTTCATAATTACATGCCCTCCAGCAAGAACTTCTTGAAGGAAATGTATGATTGTAAAATAACAATCCTGGGTTTCAAGATGAGGGAGGAAAAGGGAGAGGAGGCTAATGGAAGGGCTGGTCATTATCAGTGGGAGTGAACTCTGATGGAAGGAAAGAGTTAAAAATTGAAACCTATGGCTTGGTTCTCTTGCTGCTCTACTTGAAGTTAGCATGGAAACATTCCCTAGGAAGCATGGCATAGAACTGACTCCTTCTTCCCTGAGATGTGAAATGTATGCACAGGGTGAGGGACAGGTCCTCTATGCAAGTCATTGTACATGACCTTGATAGCCTAGAAAACTAATCAGTAAAAATTGAAAAATCCCAATCTCATCCCTGCAAAGGACTCTACATCCACTCATTTGCTTTGGCTTCCAAAATAGTTGTGATTACATATTGGTAAATGGTCCAAATGTAGTTAGCCTCATATCAACTAAGAAATAACGGTTATGTGGACCAGTCTCTCAGAGGTAGCAAAGAGTATGAATTCCATGTAACCCTCTAGTGAGCAAAGGAAGTGGGTCCACAAATCCCCTACATACAACAGACAGAAATAGGGACACCCAGAACTCTGATGCCATTCCAGCACGGTGGATCAAAGACAGAGAGTCACCTAGGTACCTGGACTTTCATTGCTGGTCCTACAGAGTGTGACAGGAAGTTGGGATTGCCCCCACGGGCTCCAGTCCACATTTTGTCAGCAAGTTAAATGGATTTTTCCATGTGATGAGGAGAATCAAGCCGTGGGATAAAGAATGCACCAAGGGTGGTTTCACGCTGAGAAGTATGTGTATCTTTCCCAACTTCTGACGCATCTTTTCAAACATTTGTCTTTTCATTAGCACCCGTACCCTTCCGAAGAGCAGAAGAAACAGTTAGCGCAAGACACAGGACTGACAATTCTCCAAGTAAACAACTGGTGAGTGACCCCAAGATCATCCTCCCTTGACCAAAGGGGGGCTTCCTGATCGTTGTTTCTTTTCTTTCTTGATTTTGTTCCTGGAACAAAGGAAATCAATGGTAATGACTGCGTTTCTTCCCCGGGGTGTGAAATGTATGCCTAGGATGAGGGACAGGTAGCCTCGGCAAGTGGGTTTTGTGGGGTTTCTTCTTCTTTCTGACTCTTTTGTTTTCTTCTCCCCTACGCTCACTTTTCTCATCTCTGATCGTTTCAAATTCTCCAGCTGAATCACAAATTCCATCTGGCTGGTTCCTGTTAGATACTGTTGTCTGTGTGTTTTTCACAATGCTCACACACAGCCACTGCTTCTGGGAAGGTTCCTTTTGTCTGGACTCTGAGGAACAATATAGACACAGGGGGGTTGAGGTTTGGTTTGGTTTTAGACTTTTGTATCTTCTCATAGGTATTTATGTACTCTAATTTTTCTTATAGAAGAGAAGGTTTTTTCCATTTTTAGCGTATGATTTAGATTACTGGCATGGTGGTATATGGGCCATCTACCCTTTGTACATGGCTTAGAGGGTAACTGAGGAAAAAGGAGGGGTAGGGGATTAAATAAAATGATCACAGTGGCCAAGAAATGATATAGGAATTACTTATCAAAATACTGGCCCAGGTTTTATCAGCGGCTTAATTTTGTTCTGTACATTCTTGGGGTGATGTTCAGATTAATTGAACTGACAGTTCTCTTTCAAAATTCAAGGGAAGTATTTGCACGGATTTCAGGCCTTATACAAACTTAATTACATGGAACTCCACTTTATCATTCTAATTCCATGTAGCAGAGGTTGTATTTACAAATGAGAAGTCTCTGGCTTTATTCACAGCTTTCCTTAATATATTTATCAAAGCAGGTTCATTTACAAAGTGCTCTATCTGTGGGATACAGGCAGGCAGACATTAACAAAGCTTTTAGGTTTATCAGGCTCGCTGCCTGATGAGCTACCCGAGGGTCAATTGATTTTGTGGTTCTGTGATTCATTTTTTTCTCATTTTTCTAGGATCACAATGAGAGACATGCTTGGAGAATTAGCCAGTTTGTCTGCCTTATCTGTCAGGCAATTTTTTTTTTCCCAGGGAAGTCAAGCTACTTAAATTGGCCACAGGAACTGTCGTTATCTGACTTTAATGCACCCTATAGTGTGGATAGCATTTCAATTACACCAGTAACCAAAGCTTAGCTGCAGCCTTTTCATGCCTCCTGTTGTACAGAAAGTGATGTGCCTACCTACAGAAGCAGAAAATTGAGTTGCCTTGCTTCTGTCAGGGTGATTAATGCAGAAATAAACTGCTAACCTGAAAGGAGAGGCAGAAAGAAGGGGTAGACAATACAGACTGGAATTCTCTTTAATTTCCTTCTAAAGATTGGAGCTATATGTGCATTTAAAGACACCCTTTAGAGTGAAATCTTGGAATAAAGGTTATAATCTCCAGGGTAAGATGTGTCCGGACGGGCAGGGATGGGGGCCTGCTGATGGGAATAGATAATATTTTATAAATGTATACATTCTCATTCATGTTCCCAGTTCAAGCAATCAGTGGTCTGAAACAATAAAATAAATACTTTCTGGGCCCCATTTATTGTTTTCTATGCACAGATTTCCAGTGTAAGCTACTGCAAATCCAATGGTGCCCGGTCCAATTAACATTAGAAAATTGTTTTTTGTAAACTTGGGCCCATTCGGGGAAGTTGTGCAGGGGACATTTGAAGGAAATGGAATGCTTCTATGCTGATATTTGGCCTTGACATTTGACCTCTCTTTGAAAACCCGTCACATATCATCCGTTCTCGGCACTTTTTGATGTAGTCATTGCCCTTGAAGAGAAAAGACGTCTCAGTCCTCAATCGAAAGACCAGCCTCCCTCACAGACACCTGGCTGGAGCCTGGAAGAAAGGACCCTTCCTTTCTGAATTCCACGGAGCCCCAAGGCATGTGCAGGAGTTCAGTTGGTGTGATATTTGGGGTTTCTTGTTTCTCTGTTCTTTGGGCTACATTTGCCGAGGGTGAGGAATGACAGTCTGTCATGCGGCACACGTGCCTTAATATGGGATAAATGTTGACACCTCCATCTCTACAAAATAATTCCATCTTTCTAATTTTCACACTTCCTTCTGGAAAATTCTGTAATCCTGCCCTCAGGTCCAATTCTTAGCTAATAGCTACCATAACTTTGATAACAAGGTGTGACTCCCGAGGATGGCTCCGTAAGTACCCCTGAAACACTGCCAAGAGTTTAAGACAGGGGCCCCCTACCTGGGGATTTCAGAAAGAAATCTGGAAAGGAGCACTCCCAACCTTGGTACATTTTGAACTTGTCCAGTTCCTTGGCAAAGTCACGTTTGAAGCAGCGCTGCCTAGCCTCCCTCAGGAGGCTTCAGAGTCATGGCTTCTGAGGATGCCAGATAGTGATGAGAAGAGTGGCCCATAAACGAGTTTTCTCAGGAAAAGAAGGGCAAAAGTAGTTCCTGGGGCTGGAGAGACGGCTCGGTGATGAAGAGCACTTGCTGTTCTGCTTCCAGAAGACCCAAGTGTGATTCTCAGCACCCAAGTCACGTGGCTCCCAACCACCTATATCTCCAGCTCCAGGGGATCTGATTCCCTCTTCCAGCCTCTGTGGGCATATCCTCAACACACACACACACACACACACACACACACACACACACACACACACACACACACACGTCACACACGCAAATACACACATACACGTAAATAAAAGTTAAATTTAAAAGAAAAGGTTTAGAAACGAATAGTCTCTGAACTTTAAGCACCCCTACACACATCAGCCAGCTGTGGCCAGGTGTCCAGTCTTACACGCCACTATTCCCAGGGAGTTAGGGTGGTCCAGGAAACATCCAGATCAGTCAGACCTTCTGTTGTTCTGTGTTGATCCTCACTTTTGAAGCAGAAAGGGCAAGGTGTTTAAGCAGTACTGTCAGCTAACATCCCCAGTAATAAGCGATGGAACATGGCCGCACGCACCCAATGAGAACAATAAGCAGTGAAAACAGGCCAGTTAAGACCCGTCAGTAATTAGGAATTAAGAACAAACAAGCAGAATGGACGGCTAGGAGATAACTGAGGGAATGGAAGATGTGGTGGATCTTTGCAGCCTGTGCTAGAACTGACCCTGGAGAACTTTTTAATGTATTTATTTAAGTAGGAAGTGTGCAACACAGGATGACACAACCAAATCAAAGTGTGACTTCCAGAAGGCTCCGCGTTCATGACACTGATGTCATTTCCTACAATTAACTCTCAGAAGTCCATGAATAATAAACCACTCAATTCCAATTTTTTTTTTTCAAGATGGCATTATAGATGAGGCATGGTGTCTCACACCTGTGACCGACCCTAGGACTTGAGAGACTGAGGCAGGAGGAATACGTTGAATTCAACACTAGCCTGGGCTAGGGAGTGAGTTCCCGGCCAGTTTGGACTACAGAGTTAATTTAAGCCTTGTCTCCAAAAGCCAAAAACAAGCCCAGGCATGGTAGAGCATGCCTTTAATAATTAAAAATAAATAATCACAAAAACAGAGAGAAAAATTATCCTGTACAATGGCATAAATAAAATTTTCATTAAATAGCTTGCAAACTAGAGTAGAGATTTCTTCCAAAAGGAAGCGTAGATATTTACGGGAAATTTTTAAAATGAGAGAGTTCTGATTTCAGTAATTTTTTTAGTTGCATTTGTGCATCCTTGACAATAATAGTCATTGAAGTATGGCAATCTCACTCTTACAAAAATCCCAGCTAGGGATCGGGAAATGATGGTTCACGTGCTTGGCACACAAAGTAGGTCACGTGTTTGTCATACAAGAAAAAAAGGCCCAAGTTCCAGCCCCAGAGCCCACAGAAGGCTGGAAGCTGGGTACCTGTCTGAGATCCTTGTTGTGTAAAGTGAGGTGGGCGGCACAGATGAGAGCACCCAGAGGTTCGGGGACTCGGCTTGCTCAGCTGACACAGCAGACAACAAAGAAAGCTTGTCTCAAACAAAGTGGAAGTTGAGGACCAACTTCCAAGCTGTCCTCTGACTCCACACATCTGCAGTGGTACATGCGTATTGCACTAACACACACAAAAAACACTCATGCACACATCACACTCCACACACATGCTCACGCACACACACACACCATACACACAGAGAAAGAAAACGTAAAGCTCTTCCAGCTAAATCACAACACACTTGTTTGCATACAACATAATACCAGATTATACTGTAGTTATATTTACCTAAAAATCCCCATCTCTAGACAAATTTCATTATTGCTGTTTCTTTATTTTGAGAACAGTTCCTGCTTGCTCAGAATTCTCTATGTTGTCCAGGTTGGCCTTGAACTCATAATCTTTACCTGTCCACCTGAGTTTTAGGATTATAGGCACACGACCACATTTGCTCTGCAGATTACTATTGTTCTTTTGAGACAGGGTCTCACTGTGTAGCTTTGGCTTATCTGGAACTTGTTTATCGACCAGCCTGGCCTTGAACTCACAAAGATAGGCCTGCCTCTGACTCCAGAGTTCTGGAATGAAAGGCATGAGCTACTGTGTCTGGCTCCAGATTATTTTTTTAAAAGAAGAAATATACTATATTCGTAAAAATTCATGTGATTGCAGTAATGATCACCAACTACAAAACAGCATCCAAAGTCCAGAGGGGCGAGCTATTGACTGAATACAAGTAAACTAGGATTTGCTTCTTCCGTAGGCTCCAGGCCCCCAAATAAAGATGCATGAAACTTAAATCAAGGAACTTTTCAGGTGAAGGTGGTCAAGAAAATCCCTTTATATAACAGATAAATGCCCTGCACAGCCTCTCAAACTAAGGTGAACTACTAATCAATCACTCATGTCCTGCTTGCCCATCTTCTTATCACAGGGGCCCACAATCATGTTAACTGTAACATCTCTGAATGATCAACACCCTTTTAGAGGGCAGAAGTTGGAC